GGCGCCCTCCCAAAGGTTCTGGCAAGGGAGCAGAACCGTCCGACGGCAGCTACGAGGACAGGCTGGCGGTGACGATGAAGCTCTCGCTGCGCAACGCGCAGGACATTCGCGAGCTCTACCACACCACCTCGGACTTCTGGCTCCTGCCAGCATCGTCGCCCCCGTTCATCGCGGGCATGGGGGCCGCCAAGCAGTATGGACAAGCAGTACGCGCAGCAGGCAAGAAACACGGTCTCGGACCCCCCCACGTCCACATCTGCAGCGCCATGCTCAGGGAGATGTACGAAGCGCTGGACGGCGACACAGGGAGCACCACCGAGAAGACAGCCAAGGGCGTCATCCGCGAGTACATCGAGGCGACGACGGGCAAGATTGGACCACAGATCATACAAGAAACAGTGCTCTCCTGGAAAGTCAACGAGGCCTACAAGCGCGACGACCTGGACGAGTCCGAGCACAAAGGCAAACTGCAGTACACGCTCAACCCGCTCCCGACCCTCGCGCCGCACCTGATGTCACAGGAGCCAGGCGAGGCGGTCCTGACCATGGCGAGGGGCTACTCGCCGACGAAGCTCAAGGAGGCCTTGACGACGGCGATCCTGGTGCTGAACGGCGTCAAGGGGCAGGGAGCGGCGCCCAAGAGCGCCCTGGAGAGGGCGGCCGAGGCGAGCCTACGCAGGCGCTGAGGTCGGGTACAGATCACTACCGGAGCTCGACGGCACCAGCCGTCCCAACGACGGTAGGCCTCGGTACGTCCCCACCTCTGGCCTCGCCTCCGTGGCCTCCTCAGCGAGCGGAGGAAAAAATTGCCCATGAGATTTCTCTCGACCCAGCACGTTTTGGGAAGCTCACACAACAGCGTGCGGTTAGTGAACGGTTTAATGAATTATACAGACTCGCATTGTCATACAGGGCGAGGAGAAGGAGAATGATGCAAGGTTTGGGCCTAGAGGAGCCTCAGCACCCCGAGAGACCCACAGGGAGCTCAAGCAGTAAGGAGGCCCACGACACGACCGAGCCATCATCACAGCAGCCACATCATAAAGGACCCGACGAGACCCAGTAACCTCCAGAGGCCCCCCTTGGGCAGGGATCCTACTAGGATGTACGTTGTTTCCCGACTCTCCGACCTCCGACCCCAGCAAGAAGTGGTGCCCCACCGTTCTTGGTTACCGTTGCCACCTACTGGTTCAGACGGCCTCTCTTCTCTTTGTGACACCGCACCTTCCACGATATTATATTGGCTCAACCAGCAGCAGCCTCCGACTTTCGTTTCTTGTACACAGAGCCGCATTGGCGGCATTACTTCTCCGACGGCTGCTGAATATGGCGAAGTCTTCAGCATGGTGCCCCGCAGATTGCGGAACAGAGCAAAGCATACCCATGCCTCAGATCTCGTACTTTGATGTAAGATATGCAAGCCCCATGGGAAGACTCATCATGGGCAATGAACGGTTGAGAACTACGAAGCCGCTGCTTGAACAACAAGTCCCAGCTGTTCAGGAAGCTCTGAAGGCACTGACCAGACAGCATGGACTTATTCGATTAGCACTACAGCGCCTGGCTCCACCAATGGAATTTGATCTGGAAGAGCAGCTTGAGAAGCAAGAAGTTGTTCGCAAACTCGAGAGCCAGGCTCTTCAGGTGCAGAATGCTATGAATGGGCTGAAGTACACATTGGGCATACTTCGTAATGAAGATGAAGCCATGATCCCGCCTTGGCCAGATGCGACCAACTATGTGTATGAACTGGCCACGCATGAGCAGCATGGCAACGACGGGCCTCCCCAAGCAAGGCCATCAGAGTAGGTATTAGTGGTTTTGCACTGACTCATTACTTCACTGACTCAGTACTTCATTGCATTGACTCATTACTTACGACAGTGACAGATGGCTCCTGCAGTGACTCATTACTTCATTGACTCATGACAGATGATTGCGGGGAGCTGGTTGGGAGTTGCTACAAACACCGACATAGGACGGTGGTGCGTACGACGGCTGACTCACACATGTGATTTTTTCTCCCCAGAGGACTGCAAAGTGACGAGGGTCAGATGATCCCCCATCCACTCCCCATGCCACATTGAATGAGAGAGTCAACTTTTTATTTTGAGTATATCCCATCATTGCCCGCGTACAGGAAGGGCAGGAGATGGGCAGGGGAGGCCGCCGACCATGACGGCGAGCGGCTGCAGCAGCCGCCTCTCTCTCTTCTCTCTTTTGTTGCTGGTTGGTGCTATTCTTTTGCCTCTGTATCTACTTTTCGCCGTCGGACTAGACGGTCCGAGAGCGCTTCTTGAGAGGCTCCCTCGCCCAGAGGGTCAGGGAGCTCTCCTCCGCCCGCGAGGGCAGAAGTGTCCCCCTCCCCCCCCCACTCGCCGAGTTGGGAGGACGACTTCGGGTCCCTCTCTACTTAGCGAAGGGGCGGGGGATGCGGGGGGCATTTCTACCCCACTTCGAGGTCAGCGGACCTCGCCGCTGATCCGTCTGCCAGGCAGGGGCGGACTGGCCCCCCTCCTGGCACGCGGTGGCAGGCCCCACCACGAAGGTGGGGGGCATGCTGCACAGCTCTTACGCAGGGGTCAAAGGCCTCTCGGTGCTCCAGAGGCTTGCGAAGACCCCCAAGCGCCTGACCTGACCTGACCTCCTCCTCCTCCTCCTCCTCCTCCTCCTCTTCATCTTCATCTTCATCTTCATCTTCATCCTTCTCCTCCTCCTCCTCCTCCTCCCCCTCCTCCTCCTCCGCCTCCTCCTGCTCCCCTCCTCCTCCTCTCGCCCCTCCTCCTCCTCCTCCTCTCCTCCTCCTCCTCTCTTCCTGCCCCTTCCTCCTCCTCCTCCTCCTCCTCCTCCTTTTTCTTCTCCTCCTCCTCCTCCTCCTCCTCCTCCTCCTCCTCCCCCACCTCTTTCTTCCTACACTTCTTAGTCCGTCCTCCTCTGGAAGGCCCTCCTCCTCCTCCTCCTCCTCCTCCTCCTCCTCCTCCTCCTCTGCCTCCTGTGCCAGCAGAGGCAAACAGCGATCTGGGCGCTCGGCGCGCGGTGCCGCCAGCGAGCGCCCTCCGTGCACCCTGCCCCTGCGGCCAGGAACTTTAGCTTAGCGCATCGCTCCGCCAGTGCGAAGTTCGAGATACAAGATGTTTGGGTGCTTTCGTCGGTTCTCGGCGGTTCGCTGGCCTCGGGATGCTTTCCAGCGGCTGCGCCTCGCCGAGAGCGTTCCAGGGGCGCCTGGATCGTCCCCAACAGCCGCCAGAGAGCCGAGTTACGATTGCTTAGCGTATGGCGCCACCAGCTCTCAGAGCCGGCGTCGCGGCAGGCTTAGACTGACCCACCGCGATTCGGCGCAACACGCCATCCGCGTCACCATGCCCAGGCGTCAACGTCCCGAGCCTTTCCCAGCCTCCCGCCCCGCGGAGCGGAGCGACACGCCATCCGCTTGCAAGGCATAGCGTGTCGCCAGGCCCGCCACCGGGACACGCTACGCAAAAATTCCTGACCACACCCCCACAGGCTCCTGGCAGCCTCTTGGGTCCCCTCAGGGACCCAGGCACGCTCGCCTAGTAGAAGCAAAGGTGAAGAGGCGGGTTGAGGAGTGGGAGGTCGGCTATGTGGGGACAGGGGTGAAAGCACGGCCATGAACCTTAGAGTCTCTGTGTTACCAGGGATCGTGGCCGTCCGGACTAAACATGCAGCCAGTTTTGAGGCAAGAGCACGACTTCTGAAAACATTGTGAGGAAGTCTGACCTGTCCCGTGGCGCATCCCGCGGCACGTCCCTTGACACGTTCCCGGTGTGTCCCATGGCGAGTCCCTTGGCACGTCCCCTTGCTCATCCACTGACGCGTCCCTGACACATCCGGTTTCGTACACCGTGGCACGTTCCATGGCTCGTCCTCTGACGTGCTCCCTGGCTCGTTCTCCGGCGCTTCCCCTGCCCGTTCCGTGGCGCGTCCCCCAGCACGTCCCTCGCCACGTCACCTGGCGCGTCCCGTGGGACGTCCCCTGACATCACGTCCCTGACGTCGTGTCCCCTGACATCACGCCCCCTGCACGCCCATCAGCACGTCCCATGGCAGGTCCCTGGCACGCCCATGGAACATTCCCTGATACGTCCCACGGCACGTGCCCTGGCGAATCCCCTGGTGCGTCCCCGTCACATCCCGTGGCGCGTCCATGTGCCCTGCTCCCCTTGTCGGTTCGTCTCGTTTCGGAACTGAATCGGATCTTGCGTTCGAGGTGCCTAAACCAGCTCTGGGTGAGCCAGCAGCTCGAGCTAAAAATCCAAATCAGTTCGGTCAAGATACGGACGCTAAGGACGACTGGATCCACACCGCAGCAGAGTACAGCGCACATCAACAATGCATGAAACAGCACCGTTCGACACAGCACGGCACAGTACGCCACATCGCAGCACAGCACTGCGCCTGGCACGGTATCATGCCCTGCCACTGCCCATTGCCCACGGTAGGGCGGTCCTATATCCCTTGTCTGGGTTCGTGCTTCGATCGTGCTCTCCCCCCGCCAAGTCCTCGGAAGCGGGACCGCGCGCGAGCGCCTTCCGTTCGCCAAGAGGAGGAATGTGCGCCAGTCCCAGTGCATCGAGCTGCGCCACCATGTGTTCTCACGTCACGGGAGCGAGGTCCCCCTGCTTTTTATATTATTCCTCCTCCTCCCTCCTCCTCCGCCTCCGCCTCCTCCTCCTCCTCCTCCTCCTCGCCCTCCTCGCCATCCTCGCCCTCCTCCTCCTCCTCATCCTCCTCCTCCTCCTCCTGCTCCTCCTCCTCCTCCTCCTCCTCTCCTCCTACCTACGCCTCCTCCTCCTTCTCCTCCTCCTCTCCTTCTCCTCCTCCCCTCCTCCTCCTTCACCTCCTCCTCCTCCTCCTCCTCCTCCTCCTCTCCTCCTCCTCCTCCTCCTCTCTTCCTCCTCCTCCTCCTCCTCCTCCTCCTCCTCCTCCTCCTCCTCCTCCTCCTCCTCCTCCCTCCCTCGTCCAGCGCCGCAGGACGCCGCTGCGCCCGCCTGAGCTGTGCCTCGGGGCGGACGCTGGTGGGCCCCAGCGCGTCGCGCACCAGCGCCGCCGGCCATGGCGCGGGCAGGGGGCTCCTCCTCTTTTTCCTCCTCCTCCTCCTCCTCCTTCTCGTCCTCGTCCTCGTCCTCGTCCTCCTCCTCCTCCTCCTCCTCCTCCGGAGGTGTGTGGCGATGGTGGCGGTGGGCAAGGAGATGACTTCGACGCGGACGAGGAAGCCGCTCGGCTCCTGTTCGCTCACGACGTCGACGAGCCAGGCACCTCGCATGAGGTTCCTGGACGTGCGGCGCCCGCATCTGTCGGCAGCCCGTCGGCTGGAGCTCAGGCGTCTCATTTTGCGACGCCGCCCAGCACGGAGTTCGCTCACCCTGTGCCTGTGGCTGTGACGCCGTTTGCTGAGCAGCCTTAGCCAGCGGCAGTGCTAAGGCAGGTCGGCGCTGTTGGTCGGGCTGCGGAGGACGAAGCTCCTCCCTTCACTGCCCAAGACAGCGCCATGGAGTCTGGCGACTCCGACTGAATATTCCTTTGTTGCGGTTCTGTCTTCTGTGTGTTGTCCTGTTGGCGTTGGCCAGCAGGGGCGTGCAGAGTCAGGGTTGGCCGTCTGGCTTAGCCATTCGGTGCAGCCTACATCTCCCTCCGCTGCAGGCTGGCTGCCCTGTACTGTCAGGGTCTGGAGGCGGCGGCGTGGACGTCAAAACAAACTCCTCCTCCTTCTCCTCCTCCTCGTCGTCCTCCTCGTCCTCGTCCTTCTCCTCTTCCGCCTCCTCCCCCTCTTCCTCCATTCTTTCTCCTTATAGATACCTTCTCCCTGTCGCACCCCGAGGCCAGTTTTTAGGGCGGGCTGGGCGTTTCGCCTGAGACTCCCTCACCATTTATGGTTCTGAAGCTTAATAAGTAACAACTGCTTCACCTCAGACGGAGGGCGGGTCGTTTTCAAAATGTGGCTCTCGCCTTAGCGCCGTGCACATTCGCTTTTTAAACTTTGCAAGAGCTTCACGGATTGAGGGCGGGTTGTTTTCAAATTGTGGTTGTCGCTTCAGCGCCGCGCATATTCGTTGCAAAAATTAGCAATAATTTCGCCGATTGAGGGCGGGTCGTTTTGAACATGTGGCTCTCGCCTTAGCGCCGCGCATATTCGTTTTTCAAGCTTTGCATGAGCTTCACGGATTGAGGGTGGGTCGTCTTCAAAATGTGGTTCTCGCCTTAGCGCCGCGCACATAGGTTGTCAAATGTTGCAAGAGCTTTACGGATTGAGGGCGGGTCGTTTTCAAAATGTGGCTCTCGCCTTAGCGCCGCGCACATTGGTTTTTCAAATTCTGCCAGAGTTTCACGGGTTGAGGGCGGTTCCTTTTCAAAATGTGGTTCTCGCCTTAGCGCCGCGCACATTCGTTCTCAAATTCTGCAAGCGTTTCAAGGCTTCCCATGATGAAAGTACCACAAATGGTGTGTTGGCCAGGTTCAGGATTATGCGGGTGCAATGTTTTGGCATGGTTCTGGATATTCAAACGATTGTCTTCCAACGAGGCAGTTCCCTCAATGGAAATGAACCGCTGTAGGGGCCTACGAAGATGGAGCTTGGAGGGAGGGTTAGTTCCATCATCGTTGATGATTCGTGGGTTTACATTGGTCCTCCTCCTCCTTCTCCTCCTCCTCCTCCGCACCGCCCGACGTGCCGGCAGGGCGGCCAGCGCGGCCCGCCCCAGCGCCAGCCTCGACTCCCAGGATTCCCTCGCGTCGTTCGTTCCCAGGCCGACGCATCGCCGATGCATCGCCGACGTCGCCGATGCATCGCCGATGCATCGCCGAGACATCCAGGACGCATTGGCGATGCGGCGCGATCCTTTGACCCCATCTAATCGGACCGCGTCTAGAAGGCCTCTAACGTAAGAATAATATTTCGCCAGAGTGGCCTTTGGTGCGGGCCCAGCGGGGCCCCCCGATCGCCGAGCGCGATGCGATAGTAGCGTCCTGCGCGCTTGTGTTTGGTCCCCCCGCGGCCCCCAAAAAGCCGCGCACCAAGGGTCACTCTGATCCCAGGGTCGCTCTTGCGTGTAGCCGATTCGCAAAAAAGTTGCGACGGAAGGGTTTTTGATGTTTTGGGGGGGCCTTCGCCCAGCCCCCAGATTGTCAAATGACGAGTCAGGATGCAAAACCGGTTCTGGAGAAGGGGTCCAGACTTTGATGAGGGCCATCGTTCTGAAAGACACGACGCTGGGGATTTGGGCTGGAGGCCGTCAACTGGGCACTAAGACCCCGATCCTGGGCCCGGGATCGGTGCGCGGGTGCCGTCCCCGCGCGCACACCGATCCTGGCCCCAGCATGGGTGTAACGCGGATCGGTGTACGGACATGCGATGCCCTGATTTTTTCACGACGGGGTCCGCGAAAGTACCGACCCATGCCTTGAGGCCAGGTACTCGTTCCCAGTCGTTTGGTGGTCCCGCGGACAGGCGAAGGCCCCCAGGGGCCGAAAATTGTCCGTTCCCCAAACAAAAAGCAACAACAACAATAACAACAACAACAACAACAACAACAACAGTAACAGCAACAACAACAAGTTGCATAACAAGAACAACAACAACAAGAAAGCAAGCAAGCAAACAACCAACAAACAAACAACAACAAGTAATAATAAACAGCACACAACAAACAACAAACAACATACAACAAACAGCAAGCAACCAGCAACAAATAACAATCAACAAACAGCAAACAACAAACAGCAAACAACCAACAACAAACAAACAAACACAAAACAAACAACGACAACAACAACAACAACAGTAACAATAACAATAACAATAATAATCACTTTACCCGAACGCTCAGTGTTCTCACCAGTGCCAGGGTTTTCATGCGACGCCAGCCAATACCCCCACTTTGTGGGGGGGCAGTGCAAGCTCTACCAAATATCCACACGACTCTTCGCCACCATCCACACCCAGCTTCCCGCCCTATGACGTTCGGACACTTCACTTCGTGGCCTGCGGACGACCGTGGCTACTACACTGGCGTGGAGTACACACCCACAGAAGTTGTTAAGCCTACGTTCGTACACCCACAGAAGTTGTTAAGCCTTGTTAACCCACAGAAGTTGTTAAGCCTTCCACAGAACATCTGTTGCATATGATGCATATGGTACATGATACACATGATACACATGATACGTACTCACAAGATAGTTGATCACATCTTTAGGACATCTCTCGGCGTGCGCGCGCGAAGAAAAAACGAATGTGTCCCGCATGGTATTATTTGACAGGGATGATGGCCCTGGCAGGTGCGCAACCGTTGTCGCAGAAGTTCGAAAAAGTTGCTCGCAAAAGCCCGTTTGACAGAAATGTTTAAAAAGTGTTGGGTTTCCTACGAATCCGCAAGAGCGCGCGGGATGAGATTTTGACAATTTTTTGTTGAAAAACCATTGGTTTTTTGATGTTTTTATGTTAAAATCGCTGCGAACACTAAGGTTTTGGAAGGATTTCGTCTTGCGCGCGCGAATGTCCACTTTACCTTATTTTTTGCAAGGGATTCTTGAAATTTGATTATATTAGAACAAGAAATGTAATTTTCTATTGTTTTTTGCAAGGGAAAGCGGATTACAACAAAACAACCGGATCCTGTACACACCCTCTTTTCTGAGGCTTCCTCACGAAAATGATGAAAATGTAGCTGCGGCCTAGGCGGCGCAGGGGGGGCGCGCACCAGGGGGCCCAACAATAATTATTCTTTAGAATAAATAATGTTCAATAATAACAATAATAACAATAACAACAACAACAACAACAACGAGAACAACAATAACAGCAGCAACAACAATCATTTTAAGACTGATCGTTCATATTTGTTCGCGTGTCATTCAAGATGCATATCCCAAACCCTGGACACCCGCCCTCTTCGTTTTCGATCGTACCCCCCTTTGGGGGGTATATACATTCCCTGCCACGCGTGGTTGGCAAAGCCCTTGAAAACGAAGGGTAACAGATAACGGGGGAGAATGAGGACGAAGGGATCGGAGGAAGGGAGGGGAGGGGCAAGAAAGAGGGAGGACGATGATTTGCGCTGCGAGTGGCGATTCAGCTTGCGCCATGGTTTGCGCCAGCCACTCCAACACAGGTTAACAATAAGTTTCGCCATGGGTCGCGCCATAAACAGCGCCACGTACCAACCCCTTTGAAAGAACATATCGTGGATACCCCCACGGGGGGTCAGAAATACATTTCGTGGAACCATTTGTATATGAGGCCACAAAGGGCGACAGCGGGGCCACTGAGGGCAGAGGGCAGCAAAGGGCATGACGACGTCGAGCCACAGGACCCTAGCAAGAAGGACAACAGCGTGCGGAAGGGGACCTTACATGATAAGGAGGTCAGTCTGAACTGGGTCACACGGAGCGGCCAGAACGAGCTTTTGCGGGCTGTTCACAATGGCCAACCAGTTCAGCTCACGGTGAAACAGTTCGGGCCGGCCTCAGCGGGTGATGCGATTCGATTTCTCGTGGGATTGCTGAAAAATACGGCAGGGAGGAGATGGCTAAACCCGAACTCGAGGCATCGAAGCAAAAATGGATAAGACAACGCGCCCTAGCCTCGGAGAGCAAACCTGGAGTGAGAAAGCGCCCTGCTGCAGCCCCGCTGGGAAGTCCCACGAAACGCCCTGCAACCGAGGCCAAGAAGAAAAAAAACAAGACAAAGGACGAGGAGAAGGAGGAGGGTCAGAAGGGCCGCCGCCGCCGACGGCGACCCCGACCCTGAGGACGCCAAGATTGAGCCAGGAGGCGGAGGAGGAGATCGAGCAGTCGAGCGATGATGGGGACGACGAGCCGCTGACCGCGAAGAAGCCAGCGGTGGCGGTGGCGGCCTCTCCGACGACCCCACGATCGGCACCCATGGCAGCAACGGCCCCAGCGACAGCACCGTCTCCCCCCATGGCAGCAACGGCAGCGAGCACGGCCACGGTAGAGACGACGAAGATCATGCACGCGATGCCGAGCTCGTACGTGCCCAGGCCCCGCGTACCCCCATAGTTAAGATACACGGAGCTTCTTCGACCTTCCTGGTGGGACTAAAAACGCGCAGACGCTGACGTCTACC